TATTCCAGGGTGTAAACAAAGCCCGCACCCGTACTCGTGATTAAATTGAGAGGTATTCCTCAAGACAGGCCGAGCAACAGAGTCACAAATGCCCAATAAACATTGTAAGTTTTTACGATACTTTTCTCCCCCATATGTATACTCGATACCGTACATCTGTAAGCTTTGCAACTCAGTGATGAAGGGTTTCAAGAATTCGTTCATATGAACGGGCTTTCCTGGCCCAAACCATAAACTGCATAAAATCATATTTCTAGCTCTCTCCTTGGGTGGCATCTCATTCAGAGTACAGAGAACAGGGTACAATGACATCAGAGAACTTTTATGTACCGGTGTGCCATCTACATTAAAATTCAAAGTAATCGTATTTTCGGACACGAGTTTTTTATACATGTACCCATCGAATATATCTTCTAGGGTGTACTTATTCTCTTTCACTCTATTTTGTGGATCTATCAGGCGATCATGATTCATTTCAAGAAAATACTGTATTTGATCCTTGAGATTCAAGTAGAGGACGACATTTCCACTTGTCCAGTTATTTGTCATATCAATCATCTCGTGACATGTTGGACAAGACAGAACATTTTGACCACTCTGAGAGCCAACTTCTCTTCCTACATACACGTGACATTCATCACAGAAATGATGAATGGACATGAAATCACAGAGACTATTTGATATTTTCTTCCAATCATATTTTGAGGTGTATCGAATTCTCGTATCAGTCAGTACTTTTGCCAATGATACACAGCCTTCTGTTGCTGTGTACGAGAGACCATTCCGCAATTTGTTGGCGAGAGCTAAGAGAGGAGCTACTAAATCTTCAGTATCATATTTAGATGAAGCTGGAGGTGCATCATCGTGAGTTATGTATGTTCCAGGTGCAGTTGTCTCTGTATTAGACATAACTTCCTACTCACTGTCTTCACTGTCAGCCCATCGATAGTTATCAGCCATTGTGTCCCGTTCTTTTGAGGTCTCTTCATCAGAAGAGTCCTCTGTGGAATCAGCATTATCAAATGCCTGAGAGGATCCTCCATAAGAAGCGTGTCGATTGTCATTTTCATCGGGAAGAACAGAAGTAGATGCAGGAGTCTGTGGGAATGAGAATAATGATCATTATGGAAAAATGAATGGATTAGGCCTAGTGATGATATTTATAAAGTTAGTTCTCTGACAATGAAGAGAAAAATAGCAGAACAATGAGGGACGCACGTCTGAAAACTTCCATGCAGAAACGATTTCAGTGAAGGCTTTTGAATCTTTGATTGATTCCTGTGTCCTATGAATTAATGTTCTGAAGGAAGTAACAATTTTCTTTAATAATTCATCAAACCCTCTAAATTAAACCCTCAATGAACAAGAATTGAAAGTCGTAATAACTCCGTCAGTGCTCTAAGATTCTCAAAGAATCCCCTGGACTTGTACTTCATTTCCTCGGAAATTGTGAAAAGTCCTTGAACTCCCTCGGAATTTTTACAATTACTCCCAAAAACAGAAGAACAAAGTCAAGAATTTTTCCATACTAAAAAATAGACATATTTACGTTAAAAAATACAATCACCAACGGATAAAGATTTCCGAAAAACCTAGCGCCATTACATTCATGAATATGAGGAATTCTTTGTTATCTCAGAGATCCGGCTTCATCATAGTCTTGAAGCAATTCGAGGGAAAATTTCGAGATTTCGATATTTGGAGATGAAACCTCTTTTGGGTAAATTCCATAGGTTTTTTGAGTAACTTAGTACCGGGATATGTTCAAATATGAAGATTGACTGTGTTCTACTGGATTTGCTAGTGAGATAATTAATTATTTATGAAATTTGTATTCTCATCTCAGACTTCCACTGAAAGAGTTCGGAGTTTTTCTTATGAATTTTTTTAGATAGATTTTATTCCAGTAAATAAGAAAAAGCTCGATGGAAGGTCGTTCATATATTTTTCTACAATTGGGATATCATTATGGCAATTGGTAATACTTCTTCTATCCATACAATTTTTGAAAAAAAAGACAAAAGTGGCTATTCAATCCCGGAAAACAAAATTAGGCAAACTCAATGAATGACGATTAGAAACAATCATGACCATGCTAATTTCCATTTTGTAATATCTGTCTGACGATGTAATTGAAAATTCATGAAAAAATCAACACCGTTACCGAACGATGATGAAAAATCACCAATTTTTTGGTCATAGTACAATGCCCTCCTAGAATTGTGAAGTGCTTTCTGATGAATATGACTTTATATCCATATGAGTTAAGAAATACTTTATTGTCCGTCGAACGGAAGAAGTTTTACGTTAAAAGGCTCGAAAACCGCATTCTAACCGAACGAATTCAGGTTAGAACGGCGGTTTATGGAGCCTAGTAAAGTAAATAATTTTACAATTATTGAGACGGATGTAGCTGTTGTGAGAAAACGTCAAAAATCAAAATCTTGAATTGGGGTCAATCAATAAGTTTCAAGCATAATATTAGTTCAAGTATTATAATGACGGTAGAGAACTTCATCACCGTAGTTTACGGATAATAGGGTGTGAACTCGGCATATAAAAAAAGCAGCCAATTTTATGAACATTTCTTCACGAGTCAATTAATCCACTTGAACCCCTCTTAGAAAATTTCAATAACCCTATGAGAAAGGCAACAACAAAAATTAATTTCAAAGTTAAGGCTTGTACATAGAGTTGAAGGAAGTATCGATAACTCGTGCATTTTCCCTACCTTATCCATACGTTATCGAACAGTCGGCAATATGGAAAAAATACTGAAATTATCGATCACCCATTCAACCTCATGTACAAGCATTAACTTTGAAATTAATATTTTTTGTTGCCTTTCTCATGATTTTTAAACATTAATTGCTGACGTGGAGAAGTATTCTCAATTTTAAAAAAATGGCATTCTCGCAGTTTTTCTTGGTTTCATTTTCTTTAACGGAAGATTAATAGATGAGAGAAATCTGTAATTAATTTACTTAGAAAGGTCTGCAAGAAACCTGTCGTGAATTGGTGAACAATAAAAAGTGCGTTCTGATCAGGGTCAGTCATAGATGGATATCTGCCAAAATAAAAAAGATATGAAAATTCCCATTACTAACTCCTTTGCAGCTGACATTTCGCTCTGCAGAATGTTGCCATCTTCCCTCGTTTTCGAGATATCTGGCGATAACTGGCCCTAAGCAAAATACAACTATTCTAGTTTACCAAGTTCCTACATAATTGCAATTCTTGGATATTTAAGAGGATAGAAAATATTGAGGCGTTGTCAAAGAAATTGAGACGATGTAGCAAAAAAAAACAATTGAGAAATCCTTAAACATTCCATCATATTTTTTCTTATTCTGCCTGTGTGGAGCTGGAACTCCCACAAGTAACCATATTTGATGATAAAAATTGAGAACTACTTAATGATAACTTGTCGAAAAATTGAACTTCTGAATCCTACAATTCTATAGAGAACTGAAAAATTCTCTTGACGCAAAAATCGTCTTCAATTTTGTAGAAAACGACATGGATTTCTCGAAGTTTAGGCAAAAACTAGCAATTTTATGGAAAAAAAAAGTTTGATTTTTCCTCAAATCTTCTCGAAAACATAATATATTCGTAGAATTTCATATGAAATGAGAAAATACACACAAGTTTTCAATAAAGCATGAAAATATCCCCGAACTCTGTAGGCAACTCAAGAAAATCATCGAAAACTCGAGAACCCTGTGAATTTAGCATTTTTCTACAATGTCTCCCTCAACTTGTTCCCAAAATCATCAATATCAAGGTTAATTCCAGAAATAGAGTGCACTTAATACTCACAGTGATAACCACACGGTCTTCTCTTGGCTCGTCATACTCCACAGGAACTTCGATGCTGCAATTATAAATTAGAATCGATGAATGCAGTGAATCCAACTTGATCCATGAAAATTCAGGATATTCTTGCGATGTAATAACTAACCTTTTTATTCTGTTTCTCGCTACCCAACGAGATGCCGTTCTAGCAGGAATACCACTGTTACTCCCATACAGAGTATATTGTTTATAATTCCTTTTTATTCTTAATTGACGATCCATTTTGCCGCACTTTAATGCAAAAGATTCATCAATAACTTGCAGTGCAGTGGTCGAAATACATCACTGCCAAACTACATGTGCTGGGTGTTTTTAATCGATTAGTCTTTCAGTGTTTCTTCACTTCCGTATTTTTCCAACGCGGGAATACTTGAAGGTTTGTACCAATAGAATTTCGTTTCTGGAATGCGGGAAAGATAATTTCATACTAACCTCATCAAATCCACTCTTTTCCAATGCAATTTTTCCGAATGATCGCCGTTCCAGATTATGCGGACCTTACAGCCCAATCTAATTTTTAGTGGAAATATTTTCTATCCCGGATATCACACACTGTTCGTGAATATAATTTTTATCAATCCCTTCACAAATCGCGTTCGGCTGCAGTTCGCAGAGGTCGTGCTGACTCTAGTCGTGGTTCCGCCATTTTTTTCTTATTAAATGGCGGAGGTGCGAGGGTTAGTACAAGTCGTACCGGGGCTGACGGACGTGTTCAAACGTGTTTTCGGGTTTGCCAATGCATGTGGCCCATTGATTGATTTCTGAGTGATTTTTATTCGTCGAGTGCTGTCACAGGGATTACTACAAATCGAGTGCCGTTACAGGTGAGTATCTTTTTTCGATTCCATACAACGAAAGCATATTGAAACTACGTTTTGAAGAATCAGTAATAGAATCCTTCCATTACCCTTCGAGTCTCTTATTGTCCATTTTTTATCCATCGAATCATTCATTTTCTTAATTGATGTCCCTCAAGAAAATGCCTTCGATCGATTCAACCGAGAGTTAAGACTGGGCTGAGTCTGATTCATGGAAATTTTTCAGATTGCCTATTTTTCCATAGGTTTTTCTCCATCGACTCAGAGGTCATTTTGAGTTTGATTTGTTAGGATCATTTCCTTATTCCACTCATTGGGTTCTGCAGGATGCCCAAATTATATGCTAATGTGAAATGGATCGGAGGGGACGACCACGACAAGGTGACAGTAGGGATCCCAACAGAGTGGATCCTGAATTTCAATTATGAAGAGTTTCTATCAGAAAACTTCGACCCAGACGAGTCGTTTGTCATTGAATGGAGAGAATCAGGGAAAAAACCACCGGGGGGCTGGCCTGTTTTCGATGGCTTAGTTCTTGATGATGCAGGTTAGTTATCAAGTCCTTAAATTGCCACGTGTTGTGATTCTCTTGTCTTGCCCGCATACGCCAGTTTCTTGATGTTATTATATGTGAAATTCTTCACATTTAGCAACCGTTGCAGCATTAGAACGCAGGAGTACAAATTATGAATACCCTAAATCACCTCGAGTTGTGACACCAAAAACAATAAAGACAACAGATCAGGCTCAGGCCTCCAGCTTCCAGGCTTCTGGCTCACAGCAGAAAAGAGCTCTTGAGACACCGATAAATCAGGTTAGAACTAAGGTGAGAAAAAGAATTTCATTGGAAATAACTGTTTGGGAAATATGATAGGAAATTTTTGAAATCATTATTTACTGAAGAATTCTAGAAAATATATGTCATGATGATGATCAGGGTATTGCAAAATATCAGCACATGCGAGGGGAATTCCGAGATTTCTGAGAGATTCCAAAAATTGAATAAATTCGGAGTGATTTTAATAGAAAAAAATACTGCAGAGAATTCTGAAAACATTCATTATTTTAACATCTTGAGAGAATTCTTGGAAGAACTTCTTGAAAGTAGGAACATTTCCAGACTTTATGGTAGAATTGTTGGAATTCCTGGAGAATTTGAGCGAGTTCGAGGGGTTAGTAGGAATTACGAGAGAATTCGTTGGATACGAAAAACTTCAAGAAAACTCGCCGACTTCCTAAAACAAATGGCGAAAATTCAAGGAATTCCAAGTATTCCTTCAATTAAGACGGAATTGAAGTAATTTAATCAAATTTCTGAGGGAATTCATGGACTTTTTGAAAAATTTTTGGGATTCGAGGGAGTTCCCAGGAGCTTCTAGGGCATTCAAGGAATTCCTGGAAACTTCGAGGAATTTCAAGAAATTTGGTGAACTCACGAGGGAATTTATCGACTTTCTGAAAATTGCTGTAAATTGAAATGATTTCAAAGAATTCCGAGGAACCTCCAGGAGTTTCTAGAAATGGTTAGACGATTTGATGAGTTCCTAGGATTCTCCAGGAAATTAAGAGCAATTATGGAAACTGAAAGAAGTCAAGGCATTCCTCTGAATTTGGACAAAAACCACAGTTTTCAGAAAATTCCAAACAATTAGAGGAGGTTCGCAGGATTTATTTTAAATTTGAGGGAACCCGGTGAATTTCTGGAATTACTGACTCCATTCAGGGGCTTCCTGAGCAGTTTGAGGTAGTTCAAGGAGTCTCTCGGGATGTTTAGGGAATTCGGGGCATTCCTAGAAACTTCAAAGAAATCAAGGAAATTCCTAAAAATTCGGAGGAAATTCCTGAACATTCTAAGAATCTCCAAAAGTCGAGGATTTTTTGGAAACAAATTTTCCCCCAAAACTTCTCTACTGGATAAATTGAGGACTGGAAGAAAGTTTATGATTCCAACTGTTTGCTGGTCATTTTTTTTTCTTTGTTATTGAGAAATTGAGAAATTGAATTGATTTGCAATTTTCGGATTCTCCAATTCTTCAAATTTTGGAAAGAACAAAAGGTTGTCACGCGTGGAAATGGGTGATCACTCTCGTCCCTAATGAAATCAATGTACGCATAAAAAATTCAATACAAAGCCTAGCAAATTCACTGGAAAATTTATTGAAATTCCATAGGATTTGGAATAGGATTTCAAATGCTGTTGGAATGCTATCCGAAAATGATATTTCTTTTTTGTGCCAATTGGATTGAATATGTGCAAAAGAGAAGTCAATAGATTTCGAACTTCTGTTCAAATATTTCTACTAATAGTTTTTGCATGATAGAATCTGAGTGGGAAAGAGGTGAGAAATTATGCGTTCAATAATTTGAGTGAAAGAAAAATAGAAATAAAAAATCAAATATAAATTTTTAAAAATTGATTTTTTTTCTGTGAAATATCCGATCCAATTGATGCAAAAGAACGGTTGAAATTATCCAATATAATTACAATTGACATTCCATATAATTCCTGTAGAGTTCTCGTTAAATCCTACTAAATTCTTTAATAAATTCGCTAGGTGGTCGAGTCACACCCGTCGAAATAATTCGATTGTGTTAATTTTGCAATTCATCTTGAATTTGTCATGTTTTGTCATTGTTAAGTGCTAAAATTGAAGCACAAAATGAAGTAAAAAAAATGATCCAAGGTTCAGTGAAAAGTTTCCATTGAATGGATTTTCTGTTAACTTTTGCTTAACCTAGCGGGGACATGATTGTATGAAAAAAGAACATTAATATTAATATGAAAGTGATTAATTCGGACATTTATGCTCTTATATACCTCAAAAATAACCCTCTTTTCAAAAGTTTATTGGAAATTTCGGAAACTCGATTTTCTAATATTTGTGTTTGTGGCTGAATGTAATTCTCAATTGAGAGTAATTTTTTTTATTTACAACGTCAAAAGTATGAATCCCCAAGCATACCTTCATTAATACTTGTGTTGAAGGAAAATATATAACTATGTATTATTTAGATGTGCGCAAAATACTAAATATTTGACCATGCAGTATTTGAGGGCATTGAAAATACCAAGTATTCCAGTAATTTATGTTTTCCAAGTTTGTGAAGGCTACATTAATGGACATTTAGTATTTCCAGTGCTCTTTCATATCAAACCGTGAAGTGTAAATTATTAGAATCACCATTGAAAAAAGAAGAATTGAGTTCCGTCCATCATTGCAAAGAAGTCTATCTCACTCTCAATAGTAATATTATTGTATTTTTATACTATGATTTTGGGTCTACCATTCCCGTAACAAGCAGAAGAACCTGCTGATGCAATTTTCAAGCGACGAGGACACCGAAGAAGAGGAAGAAATTGCGGCCCAGCGTACTCCCCTCTCAGCCTTGAATCACTCGAAGAAGACCAAAGGACCTAAAGGAGGCTCAAAAGTTGCAAATGGTATTTTTTGTTCAATTTTCATTCTATCAAGCATTCTCGTCGATCTCATGGAAGTTCATCTGTCAATGTAATAGATGGTGAATCCCATAACAATGAAGTTCCACTCCATCCCGAGGAGGAGGAGGAAGAAGACATAATCAGGAATCAAGATCAGCAACTCGATGGTATTAAATTTTATGATGTTAATGACTCGCTATTTTCGAATATATAACAGTGAAATTACATCATCATCCAATGGAACATACAATGCCAATATCGATTAATCGCAGTGAAACGATGAATCGATGCCACATTAAAGCGAGATGATGTCATATCCTTTTTATATACGGATTTTATGGAGCCTTCTAATTTTATTCCGTTCCATCTCCAGGTCAGAACGAACGTCGCCAGCATGGACCTGATCTTCTCAACCAGAATGAACAAAGAGGATTGGAGAATATCGCTGGTATTTATATTGATTATCTTATTCCCCTTATAATTTTCATTCATATCATGAGATTTTTTTTTCGTTCTGTCAGCTGTAGGACATGATCCAATCGCTCGTCAATAACTAGCAGAGCTCAAGAATTTACTTCAAGAGAATATTAGGCTTCAGCGACAAGGAGTGCAGAATGAGGAGCCAAACCTGGTAAAAAGACGTTTTATAATTTCAATAATGAGAACCAATCGTTCAGGCGTCTCGATATGCCTCGTGCAAGATCCAGTTCCCACTTGGAGAAAGAGGAAATTCATAATTCATTCATAATTTTGAAATCATCACTGTTCTAATTTTTGATTGCCAATCATCATAACTTCTGAAGAGAACTTTATGCTTCACGATCGAAGAATAGTATATCATCATCATCATCCAATTACTTAACTGTTTTCCTTTCATTCTTCGAAGAATCGATAGAGCCCCATCCCGTAATATGTACATTAGGGTGGCCCATTTTACGGGTATTCCTGAATATTTCCGATTTCGTCTCAAAAAATGATTCTTCAGTTAATAAAATACCCCTGTGAATTTTTTCATATTTTTAAACTGCATTTTGATGGTTGCGCCGTGTGTTTAAAGTTTGACTGACATTTTTGACCTACTGGCAGTACAGGTCATAAAACTTGGGTAGAAGTTAAATATCCTCAATGATACGCCCGTGTCAGGTAGTAAGTATGGTTCCGAGTGAGGGTTCGGGTGTCACCTAGGTATTTGTTTTTTTTATGTTCTTTAGTCTTTGATTATTCTCGATATATTGAGAATTGGATAGTCCTCATGGGCAAAATATATTTTTTCAATCTGAAGGATGTATGAAATTAATTAAAATGTTTCGAAAAATAATGATATAAAATAGAGTTGAAGGAAATAAGCATAATTAACCTTCTGAGTTAAATAAACGCTCCCAGGATTTCTCCGGATTAAGTTAGGTTTGTTTAATGCCTTTTTTGTTACAAATGTAGTTGACACTTCTTTCAAATATATGGGAAATATAAAATTCTCAATATATCAAAAATAATCAAAGAGTAAAAAATACAAAAAACCGAAGAAAAAGAAGTTATTAAAAACTTGATACATGAAATATTGAAGAACAATTTTGCTGGCCTAATGAATGAATCCCCTCTTCCACCACTCCCTGACATTATCGTGGATTTTTCTTGCCCCCTTCTGCCGCCTGAAGCGTATTACTGACGCACTACAGTCATCATAGAAGGTTTTCCTCTGTTCTTATCGTTTTTTCATGAATGCATCATCCGAAAACATGAAAACTATATACAAAATTTTAGCTAAATTTTAAAGCAGCTCTACGATGCGAGTTCAGTCCCTTCCCAGCGCAGGTTAGTTCGGCAGGTCAAATTTTTTGCCTAGGCTCAATTTCTGTGTTTACGACCGTTGTAAAAGCACCGCATGAGCTGGACACCTGTCTTTACTGGAAATTTAGGAATTATCTTTCGCATTTTTTTCAGAATTCGATTGGTGGGGAAGAAAATTTTTTTCTTTGAATTATTGTCAGATAGTTCCATAATCCATCAACCGAATCGGGATGAAAAACGGCCAGATACTCAGCGTGCTAGAGGCGTCTAAAAATCACTGAATTGAGTAGAAATGAAGATTTTCATTTTGATAAGTAATAAGTTTTCTGTTGAGACAAAAATTAATTCTGTTCTTAAACCTCCCTCTGAACGGTTCACGGAGGGGAAACACCGAGGGATGTAATAATTGAGTCTTTAAAAAATTATTGACACATTCGATCTCTACGATGCGTGTTAAAAGTCCATAAGAAATAAAACTCCACGGCGCAACCTTGAAAAATGATTCAAAAATTTTGAAAAAATTCACATGTACTTTCCATGTCATTGATTATCTTTATCAAACACGAAAATTATGAAATTCAATTTTCTTTACATATGAGCCATCCTAATGTACATATTGTCCATTTCTGATCATTTTCTATTCTGGTAAGCGAAAAGTGGGGTAATATGTAACAATAGACTAGAACAGTGAGGGCAAATGACAGTGAAAATACGATTCCTTAGCGTAATTTAAACAACTTTCCATTCCAGTAAATTCTTCGTCATTAACTCTTTTGTTCTTTATCGCACAATACTGACGCAGATAATAATGTTGCATCCCATACCGATGAATATTAAAAGTGATAATAGAAATGATATTAATGAGAGTGATGTTGACCATAATAATTTCAGTACTTTGTTCAATCTTTTCAAGTGATATGCAATATTTCATCAGTAACCGAATGCACAAGGTTAAGGTTTCAAGTTGCCCTCTTATTTCATTCGATCGAAAATCATCATCTACATTTGCCTCATTATTTAGAAAGTGGGCCACATGCGATCATTATGGATCTAAAATCATTGGGAAATCGCCTTCGACGATCTCTATATTGTTGTAGGGACTTCAATTTTTATTTTTCTAGATTCTGAGCATTAGTTGGAGATCTTGTCGAAATTTTTGTAGAATACAGCATTGTTGATGATTCAACTAAAACAAACAGCATTCTTTGCATGCTTCACGCGCAAAGAATTCTATTTTAACCTTTTTCCCCCTACTCAATTACCGTTTTCAGCCATAGTATGTTCATTTTCGAAACAAAATTCTGAAATGTTGATAAATTGAACGAACCAATATTGTTAGATACTTGTTTGCAATAGGTGGAACTTGGCCAAAGAGGAAGCGGAGTCACGGTCACAGCATTGCAGTGGAGTGCAGCAAAAGAACAAAAAACGTTCGCTTGCATGGCAGTCTCACTTGTCATGTCTGTGTTTGATCATGAGACGTTACTTAATAGTAACGTAAAGGGTGGCAAGAGCAAAATCCACAAGAATACCGACAATGCACCTAGACATCAACGACTCGATCCGCATAAACTCGAGGCAATCCCAGGTAGTTTCTCCACACTTCTGTAATTTTCTTATAATTTTGATTCATTTATATTTGCCTGGGTCTGCAACCCTCGGCCTTGTGACAAACATATCTATTTTGTTTGATTCATCTGCTCGATACTGAGGTAAAAGATCTCTTTTACTTCAGACGACGAGTGAATTCATTCTTTCACATACTTATTACGAGCCATGAGGCTCTGTTTTTGCAATCATTTGATGGCATGTCATGTCAATGGAAACTTATAATCGGGAAAGTAATATGTCTGTTTATAATTTGCGTCTAACTATCTTAAAATGAAAATGTAGAGATGTAAAAAAAAATTATTTTGGTAAGTTATCTGTTTATTGGACCAATGACTTGGTATCGACAGACTGATAAAAGGAATTTTGCCTGTTTTTTTCTTACCAATGAGATGACATGAAATATTAGAGCCATTTCTTGAGTTTCCAAATGGAGATAGGGACATTGAAAAACGTCTGCGTTCACCTCTTCGTTTTTTGCTACGATTTATATACCGAAAACTATGCATTCGATGATAACTTTGATTTAATTTATCTGATTATTGATGGGGAGATAGTTGAACTCCATTTCATTATTTTCGGTGCATTGGATTTATGATTAAGTATGAATATATTAAAAAAGATTTTGGATAAGAATACGTCAGTTTTTTTTTTGTTCGGTTTCTGAGTTATCGAAAGTGACACCATTATTAGGGCCATGAATTTTTAAGACCCTATAGGCTATGAAAAATATTGTATTTTTTATCAATAAATCTATGAGATTTCTTTGAGATATTCGTATATATTCAATTAGTTATCCATCCATCCAGCAGATATAAAAATATCGGATATATATTTTAGAAGTAATTTACGACATGTTTAGTAAATATATTTAAGGGAACATGAATAATATATTTCAAATATATATTGGATCTATTCCCAGTATATCCCACGTATATAAATAATCTATGTTTGCTGATACCAGAAATAGAATTGGTCATATATATATATATCTTATATGTGAAATTTATCTCTCATTATACATCAAATTTAACTGACACGTAGATGAGAAATTGGTCGAATATAAAAAATCATATATATTTTTCTTATATTAGTGAGTATAAAAAATCGGCCAAAAATGCCTATCTCAAATATTGATGAAATAGATGCTGAATATTATATGAATATTAATTATAATTTCGAATAGATCGATATATATGCAAAATATAATTCGCATATATCTGATATATATTTCAAAATATATTTTCCACATATATTTTTTTCCGTGCGGGCTGTTGAAGGGAGTTGTAATGAAATTTCAGTTATTTACTAACCAATATGAATAGCTTTCTGAGTAGTTATCATCTGCGAAATTGTGCGGATCCATTCGGAAGATTATTACCAATGGAATTGGTAGAAAAAAAAAAGTAAATGTCACATGGCTTCTGCCAAAAAAGCTTACAACCCTGCTCGTTTTTTATGTCTATTGGGAGAATGCATTTACGCATTCCCACTTACGGGAGAGAATCCGAGATTTTCTCCGACAACTGGGGTATGTCGGGCTCCGAAGAGTCCCACATCTTCCTTTGGTAGAGTTGTCCCATTTCAGCTGCCATGGCCTCAAGCTATTTCGCCCCTCTTCTGTCGCCAGTTCTACGGGGTTCAGCGTTTCTGATCTCTTCCGCTGGTACAGAGATCTTCGCTCCTTATCTACTACCTGTATCGGTAACATTCCTGGGATAACACACACTGCATCCTCAGACACCGTCCGGTATGCACACGCGACTCTGAGAGCACTCAGCCGATAAACTGATGCGATCTTGCGCCGTGCTTCTTGTAGCTGGAGTACGTTAGCCCAAATGGGAATGCCATACGTGAGCACCAACGTAAGCACTGAAGACAGCAGCGCTCGTCTTCTTTGCTTGGGACCTCCGATGTTGGGCATGAGGCGTGATAAGGTGGATCTGACTCCAGATGCCTTGGTACCTACGTGCTCCGCTTGCTGCTTGAAGTTGAGTCGGGCATCGATCATCACTCCCAGGTATCGGATGAATGGCTGGGAAGTAATTTCACAAGATCCGACCTGCAATGTGATAGTCTCTATTTTCTTCTTGCTAGTGATCAGCACGGCTTCCGTCTTATTTTCCGCCAGGTTCAGGCCTACTGAGTCCATCCAGCGGCGGATCGTCTCAAACATCATGTCGAAGATGAAGCTGATCTCCTCCAAGTATTTTCCTACGATGACTACGGCCACATCATCTGCGAATGCCAAGAGTTTAGTTTCCCGCGACAGTTCCAGCTTCAGCAACCCATCCTACATTATATTCCACAGTAAGGGACCCAGCACTAAGCCTTGAGGTACTCCTCCAGTAACTCTATACTGTTCGGAACCAACCTTTGTGTCGTACTTGAGAACTCTTCCCGTGAAATAGCTGCCGACCATCTTCCGCAAGTATTCCGGTACTTTGAACTTCGCAAGAGCCTCCATAATACAGTCCCATCTTGCCGAGTTGAAAGCATTCTTGATGTCTAGTTTCGCTACCAAGCAATACTTGTTCGTGCCCTTTAGCCATCTTGTTCCTGAGATCGCAGCCCTGGCAGTGGCAACTACAAGGTTGATGGCGTCCAGAGTGGATTGACCTTTCCGGAACCCATATTGGTTGTCGGCCAACAGGGGTTCGACAGCTGTCTCTATTCTTTGGTGGACGATACACTCGAGGATCTTGCCAGCGGTATCAAGCATACAGAGCGGATGTTATGATGAAGGGTCGTCCGGTCGTTTTTTCCCTTTCGGGAGTAGTACTAGCCTCTGGTACTTCCACGTGGCGGGGAAGGTGCACTCCCTTAGGCACTCGTTGTATACGTCCAAGAAAAGCTCCGGGCAATCGCGTGGATAGCAGACTTCAGTGCGATATTGGGGATTCCATCATGACCAGGGGCCTTGTTACAGGGGTGTTACCCCCTCTACTGCAGGCTTCCATCAGCTTTTCCTTGGTGATCAGTGGAACCATTATTTCTTCCTCTTGTTCACCTATGCTGTGAAGTTCTGGCTGTTCTGGGAACAACACTGTGACATTTTTTTTTATTAGCACAGGACACGTTGGTGACGGCATTGGTTGACTCTTGGGTCGCGTCATCACAACCTTATATGGTCTCCCCCATGGATAACCCTCCACCTCATCAAGGAGCTCATTCCAAGATTGTTTTTTACTGCACTTGATAGCCTTGCTGAGTTTCCGGCGTACCTTCTTATATGTTTTCTGTCGCTCCTCAAAATCTGGCTTCTTGCGGCCTTGCTGAGACAATCTCCTAGCTGTACTACACTCCTTCCGAAGAATGGTGATAGTATCATTCCACCAATAAACTGGCGGGTGTGAGTTTGTTGTACGCTTCCTGGCCATGGTGGCATCGCAAGCGTCACTCTTTTCATGATGTTTCACGCCTTTTCAGTGGCATTGCTGACACTAATCTGGCGATCGTCCAATGCTACTGGATAAGAGCTGGCAACGAAGGTACTCACTCTCCAGCCAATGCAGTTGATCTTCTTGGGCGTTGAGGAGAGTCTCTGGCGAGTAGCTGCCTCCAAGACTATCGCACTGTGATCGCTCGCAGTGTAGATATCACTTACTCTCCAAGAGCAGTTTCCCCTTGCAAAGTTGCCGCTCGCGAAAATAAGGTCCACAATCGAGCTCGCCGCTCCCCTCATAAAAGTCGGTTCATCGCCACTGTTCAGCAAAACCACATCCAACGCTGACATGGCCTCCGGTACAGCTTGCTCTCTGATATTCGTCTCTCTGCTCCCCCAGTCAACTGCCCAGGCGTTCAAGTCTCCGGCTATTGCCATGGGAAATTGCTGCTTCGCATCCTCGGTGAGTCTATTCAGGAAATCCGTGAACTCGTCGATGGAAAGGCTCGGTAGGGCGTAACAGCTGTAGAAAAAAAATCCATCAACCTTAGCCTTCACAAAGCCATCCTGTGTGCTATTGCTTGTGGTACTCTGGAATGGCCGATTCCCACAAGCCCAGATTACAGCCTTCTCGCTAGCGTCTGTAAACCAGGGTTGAGCATCCAGGTTTGTGTGTGTGTGTTCTTTTTTCAATGCTGTTGGGAGAATGCACTTATGCATCCTCACTTGCGGGAGAGAATCCTAAAGATTTTCTCCGACAACTGGGGTATGTCGGGCTCGGGTCACAAGGACCAATACCGACTAAACGCCAATCAGACGAATTTACTAACATGTTACTTCCCTCGCGGCACCACTGTTAAGTATTACTTCACGAGGGAGGTCTCAGCTAGTTGCTCTTCCACGTTGTTTTCATCTAATGTACGTCCCCCTGTCCCGTTGAGATGTTGAGTGCGGGGAGGAGGTTCGCTTCCGCCACTTCCGCCACGAAGTTCCTCGTAGCGTCCCAGGCTGCCGGCAATAACAGCATAGCTTTCACCAGATTCTCAAGCAGGACTTCCCTTTCGAGGGCTGATTCCCAAGTACTTCGGCTCTCACTGAAACGGGGGCATCTGAAAAACACATGCTCCGACTCCACATCGAGTTCTGTGAAGACTGAGCACTCCGGGGAATCCTTGTGTTTGAATCTATGAAGATACGTCCGGAAGCACCCATGTCCCTATAGCATCAGTGTCAGGTAGTAATTGACCTCTCCATGATCACGATTTAGCCAGACATCCACCTTTGGGAACAGACGATGAGTCCATCTCCCTTTGATAGAGTTGTCTCATTTCAGCTGCCATCGCCGCAAGGTATTTCGTCTCGCTTCTGTGTTAATTTCTGCAACATTCAGCGGTTCTGATCTCCTTCGCTGGTACAGGGATCTTCGTTCCTCAGCCAGTATTTCTATCGGTAACATTCCCGCGATGATGCACATTGCAACCTCCGACACCGTGCGGAAAGCACTCGCCACTCTGAGGGCACTCAGTCGATACGTTGATGCAACTTTTCGTCGTATCTCCTGCAATTGTAGTGCATCGGTCCAGATGACGATAACCGTATGTGAACACCGATGTGATCA